AAACAAAGGTGACGTTTCGTAAAATTTTCTAAATGTAATTTGATATTAGAGTTGTCTTTAAAGTTTATGTGTTTTTAAATTATCATTAAAGTGTAGAAAATTTGTTTGGTTATGAGTTTTGAAAAGAATTTTGAATTAAGTTTTGAGCTAAATATTGAATTGAGTTTTTAATATTTGATGTGACATGTAAAATAAGAAAATTTGTTTAGTTATGAATTTTGGAAAAAAAATTTAAAACTTAATTGAAATTGTTGTAACTCGTAATCAAACACACTACTCAAAATTCTATTAAAAATTCTGATTAACACTTATAAGCAAACTTTTTTTAAAATTCAATTAAAAAATTAATTATTAATATAAAATAACATTAATTAATTTTTTTAATTGAAAATATTACAAAAGAAATAATTTTTTTTTTCAAAATAAATATTCAATTACTGATTTAAAATAACTTTTGATTGTATATTTGGTTCGAATTTTTTTTAAATATTTTTTAGTTAAAATATTTTTAGATTTTTAATAATTACTGTCACAAATTATTTTCTTTTTATTGTATTGTTATTTTCAAATAAATGGCCAAAAAATTTATTAGGTATTATTTATGTGGAAGTCAAAAAAAAATTAAAATATCATTTTGTTAGTATCTAAGCAGCTAACCACACACAATTCAATTTTATTCGATTTTTTTTTATTTGTTGATTTTCATCAATTTCGTGAAAAATGCATCCTTCATGTATTTCGTCATTTATATCATCTGTTCAACCACCAACTTTTATATCAGAGGCTAAACAACCAACAATTTCACCATCTTCATAATTAATTTCATAATTTACAAATTCACTCTATATATTGGCAAATGATATCAGTGTAAAACAAGAAGACCAAATAGAGCTGTTTTGATAAGGGTCAGAGCTTAAGAGCAGAAGTCGAAGCTTTTCCTAGCTACTCAGGACCGGTCGACCAGCAGGTTGTAACAACCCTCATACTGTTTACCGACTTATGACTGATTGATTACCGTTAAACTGAATTGATTACGACTGATAATTGAACTGATTAAAGTACGGAACTGACTGACTGAAATTTGGGAACCGAATTGATTGAGTATATGTTAGTTAAATTGCATTCTATCTGTTTGATTGGATGATTATCTGTTCATGCTTATATGTTTAAACTGCTAATTGAAGGACATATCGGCGACCGAATTAGAAACCGATTTATGTTCCATGATCCTCAGAATTAATGTGATTTTATGGTATATTTATCTGAAAATTGATTAGGTATGATTAAATTAGATTAAAATAAGTTAATTGCAATAGTTGCTCTATTTACCTTATAGCCATTGTTAGTGGGCCCTTATTATAACATGTTAGAGCCTTGGTATGCTTGAATCAAACATTTTGCTCAGCTCATTTCTTGCTTTTGCCGACTAGAGGGAGAGAGTTAAGGGAGAGAGTTAGATTTCACCTCTTTTGGCTTGGTTTTGCTTGGAAATTGAAGAAATTGTTAAGGAGATTGCATATTTGAGCTCCCTTCTTGAACTACAAGACTAAAGGTAGCTCCATTGTCTTCTTGTTCATGTTTTGAGTTGATTGTTGCATGGTCCAGGTTAGATTGTAGAAGCTAAGTCATGTTTTGGGTCATTAATGTTGAATTGAAGCTTGATTGTTGCATGCATGTTGCCATTCTTGAGTTTTGAGGTTATAAGTTCATGTTTCCTCACATGCATGTCCATAATTTTGTAATGGTCCATGATTTCATCATGTTTTGGAAACAATTAGCTCCTTAGAGCATAAATTAGAGCTTTGAAATTGGTTTGAATTCATGCATGTTTGCATGTTCTTCATATTCTTGAAAATGGGTTTGAATATGGTTTTAATTGACTCACCTTTGGGGCTTGAATTCATAAATTGAGCTTTGAAACTTGTTATACATTGAATTTAGTTATGTTTTCCAGAATTTGGGCCCAAGAGGTCGAGTTTGGAGTGGTAAAATGCTTGGTTTGAGCTTGGGAGGCAAATCTGGAAACTCCAGATTTGGCTTCCTCGCTCGAGCGAAGGATTACCCGCTCGAGCGAGCACCTTTGTCCAAGGCTCCGCTCGAGCGACCATCGAGCAACCATCGCGCGCAAAATCACAGCATCCAGTATTTTTACTGTTTCGACAATCAATGGTGTCCAAACTTGATCTTCACCGCACAAAAAAAAGCCCTCGAGGAGCTAACCAACTTTGAGGAAAAACTTAGGTCCAAATCCCAAAGGATTTGAAGAAATCAAAGATCTTGTGAGGTTTTTGGTAGGAAATATAAAGAGAATGGTGAGGAAATGTTTTTAGAGAGAGAGAAATATACAAAAGTGATTCAACTTCAGCCGAAAGAGAGAAGAAAATGGAAAAAATTTCGAATCTTACCAACCCACCGTACCTCACTCTCGCACCTGCCTTTTTAGCAGTGTGCAAGCTACTCTCCCCTGACATCCGCACGTGCGGGTTGCTCTCCCACTCTAAGTTATAATCACTTTCTCACAATTCCATCACACGGGGCCAAAGCCCAAGTGTAGAAGCTCCCAATTACTATCTCTTTTCTCTTGTTTGGATGATAAGAAACTCCAAAAGAAAACACAAAGATGAAAAGAAAGAAATATCCCAGTAAAAGCAAGCTGGAGAACAAAAAAACCAGTTCACTCCTCCGTTCACTACCTTTCTTTATTCCCACCACTGAAAAAGAAATTAAAACAAAGGTGACGTTTCGTAAAATTTTCTAAATGTAATTTGATATTAGAGTTGTCTTTAAAGTTTATGTGTTTTTAAATTATCATTAAAGTGTAGAAAATTTGTTTGGTTATGAGTTTTGAAAAGAATTTTGAATTAAGTTTTGAGCTAAATATTGAATTGAGTTTTTAATATTTGATGTGACATGTAAAATAAGAAAATTTGTTTAGTTATGAATTTTGGAAAAAAAATTTAAAACTTAATTGAAATTGTTGTAACTCGTAATCAAACACACTACTCAAAATTCTATTAAAAATTCTGATTAACACTTATAAGCAAACTTTTTTTAAAATTCAATTAAAAAATTAATTATTAATATAAAATAACATTAATTAATTTTTTTAATTGAAAATATTACAAAAGAAATAATTTTTTTTTTCAAAATAAATATTCAATTACTGATTTAAAATAACTTTTGATTGTATATTTGGTTCGAATTTTTTTAAATATTTTTTAGTTAAAATATTTTTAGATTTTTAATAATTACTGTCACAAATTATTTTCTTTTTATTGTATTGTTATTTTCAAATAAATGGCCAAAAAATTTATTAGGTATTATTTATGTGGAAGTCAAAAAAAAATTAAAATATTATTTTGTTAGTATCTAAGCAGCTAACCACACACAATTCAATTTTATTCGATTTTTTTTTATTTGTTGATTTTCATCAATTTCGTGAAAAATGCATCCTTCATGTATTTCGTCATTTATATCATCTGTTCAACCACCAACTTTTATATCAGAGGCTAAACAGCCAACAATTTCACCATCTTCATAATTAATTTCATAATTTACAAATTCACTCTATATATTGGCAAATGATATCAGTGTAAAACAAGAAGACCAAATAGAGCTGTTCTGATAAGGGTCAGAGCTTAAGAGCAGAAGTCGAAGCTTTTCCTAGCTGCTCAGGACCGGTCGACTAGCAGGTCCACTGGGGGTCTTCCGGCTGATCAACTGGATCCAACTAGCTATCCAGTTTAACAACAAGCCTCAGTTTAATAGCAAGCCTCAATTCAATTTAACAGAAAATCAATGAGTTGTCTATAAAACCTATATATATTTAGAGAGAAATTTACAAGTGTCATAAAGAAGAACACAACAGACAAAAATCTAACACTAAAAAAAAAGGAGTCAACAATCAAAATCCAATAAATTTACGAATTATAAAAGAAAAATCAACAGAAAATTAGTTTATAATAACACAAACACATATATGTATCTAGAAAAGAGTTAACAATTTCTTTCTTGGTGTTTTCTCTTCTTTGCTTTCAACAAAAAATTAGTGCACAAACACATGTATGTATGTATGAAAGAATTATCATTTTTTTTAAAAAAAAAATCCCTGTAGCGGTCAACCAGCAGAATATCCTAAAAGATGTCCGGAGAGACGACCGGATAGACTCAAAAATTCAAAAACTTTACGAAAATGTGAGAGATTTGCCCTAGAAGTTTATTTTAGAAGGAGTTCTGCCAAACGTGAAACAGAAATATATTTTAAAATGTGTGATGAGATTAATTTTTAAAAGCTTCATCCAAACACTTTGTTCACGTGAAGGGATGAAATTATGGTTGGAAAGCTATACCAAACACAATGTTTGGTTTGCATTTGAGAGATGAGTTTTAGAAAAAAAAAATTTAAAAAATTGTTTGGTTTGAGTTTTTTTCAAAAAATTTTCAAAATCACTTTCTCTCTCTTACACATCAATTAATCACTTTTTCTCTCTTCTCTCTCATTCTCAATCACTTTTTCTTCCACATATATCTACTCAAATTCTCCTAAAATATCAAATCATCCCAAACTCTCAAAAAAATAATTCTCTTAAAATATACAACCAAACAAACCAAAAAATTTTTTAAACCCACTCCTCACATTTTTTTTCAAAAACAACACTCTAAAAAACAAACCAAACAAGCTCAACATTTTCTCCATAATTTTCAAAGGGTTTGGTTATGGTGTGCAACTTACACCTTAGACCTTATACCTTACACTTACACCTTACACTTACACCTTTTGTAAAAAATTAAACCTTACACTTACACTTTTTTTGAGGTTGCACACCATGTGCAACCCACTTACACCTTACACCTTACACTTACACCTTACACTTACACCTTATACTTATACTTACACCTTACACTTACACTTTTTGTGTAAGTGGCACATGGTGTGCACTTGCACACTTAAGAAAACTCCATTTTCAAAACATCCAAAACACCCCCCCTCTCTCTCTCTCTCTTTCTCTCATGGATCGCTCACTCATCTCTGCATCCCTTCTCACTCTTCTTCTATCCCTCTCATCTTTTCATTTTGTAGATTCCACTACTTTCAAGATCGTCAACAGGTGTCAACACACGATATGGCCCGGAATACTAATAGGCGCCAACAGGACAGCACTCACCCCCACCGGCTTCACTCTCGAGTCGGGCAAATCCCGGACCCTCACAGCCCCCAAATCCTGGCCTGGTCGGTTTTGGGCTCGGACCCTCTGCTCCAACGACTCCTCCGGCAAATTCTCTTGCGTCACCGCCGATTGCGGCTCTGGCAAGGTCAAGTGCGCTGGCGCCGGTTCAATCCCTCCGGCGACTCTAGCTGAATTCACACTCAACGGCGATCGAGGGCTCGATTTCTACGACGTGAGCTTGGTCGATGGGTACAACCTTCCGATGCTTGTGGAGGCGACGGGAGGTACAAGCGGGGGATGCTACTCCACCGGGTGTGTGGCAAATCTCAACCGCGTTTGTCCGGCGGAGCTGAGGGTGGCGCGTGGGAATTTGGGAGTCGCGGGTAGGAGCCCGTGTGAGGCTTTTGGGGATCCGCAGAGGTTTTAATACGCCAATCACGCTGCAAACTCCATTGAGGTGGCGAGTTTTCACTGGCCGAAACTTAAAAAATAAAAAATAAAATAAAATAATTTTTTTTTTAATCACAGAACATCACCTCACTGGAAGTCGACCCCGGTTGGAGTCCGTAGCATTTTTCGTAGTACGCCGGACACGTGTCAGCCGTCGGTGTACTCGCAGCTTTTTAAGCACGCGTGTCCGCGATCGTATACCTACGCTTATGATGATAAGACCAGTACGTTTACCTGTGCTGCTGCGGACTACATTATCACTTTCTGCCCCTCGAGTCCTTCCAGCTAAAATTACTTGCTTACCCTTTCAATTATTTTGGGTCTTTTGAGAAGTACCAGCTTCACTCTCTTATTCAAAAAAAAAAAAAAAAAAAAAAAAAAAAAATATAAAAACTTTTTCCCAAAAAATCTTACAATTTAAGTTATTGTTTTTCAAAAAACTCTCTTTCCTTGGGATAAGTTTGACCATATACTATTTTAGTTAAAAAATTGAAATCTTATTGCTAAAATCAATTATTTTTTATATTTTTTTACATGTCTTTTTTGAAAAAAATTAAAAATAAATTAAGGATAAATTATAATTTAGCCCATTGTGATTTGTCTCAAAAATAAAGAATCTCCATATAGTTTCATTTGTAATACTTAAATCTCTTATACTTCATACCATAGTATAATTTCTGACGGACGTAATTGAAGTTGTAAAAAGTCGTAAATAAGCCTTAGATATTTTACATCACTCGGTCGTTTCATTTCGTTTGACTAATACTAGTATTCGTATCTATCTCTCTCTCTCTCTATGGCCTCGTTTGGGAAGTGGCTATTTTAGAGGCTTTTTGACTTTTTGGCTATTTTAGTAGGTTATTTTAGTTTTTGTGTTTGGAAAGATGGGATAGATTTTTATTTGAGTTGGTGTATTAAAAAATATGTTGAAATGATGTTTGCAATTAAAATGACAATTTTATCCCTATTCTCACATTTTTCAAAGTAAATCAATAGGGGCAAAATTGTAATTCTACTACCTGTCACGGTGACAGCCTACCACTGTCACAGTAACAGCCACTGCCGGCCTTTTTTTTTTTTTTTTTTTTTTTTTTTTTGGAAACCTTTTGATTTGGAGGTTTTTAGGCTATTTTTGTTTTGGAGGCTATATTAGCCTAAACCATCTCTTCCCAAACAGTCCCTATATATATAAATCTTCTCTCTTACCGTGGTTGATTAGATTGAACTATGGTTTCATCATTGATCGAACCATCATATTGCGAACGCATTACTAGTTTAGGTATGTGTTGTTTATCCTAATTTATTTTGATCGTTAGGTGTTGATTTTTCCTAATTTTTATTCATAACTGAGTGTGTGTTGATTTCGATTTACAAAATTTGTAATGTTTTATGCATAGTATGTCTGTATTGCTTTAATTTTTTGGGATTGTAGTTAAAAGTAAGGTGGGGTGGGTATAGAGCTTCATAAATAATGTGTATTTTTTTTTCATGATATTAACTTTGGGTATTTTTTTATGAAAAATGTTTTGTAACTCGAAAGTTTCCCCCCCTCCGAATCCCCTAACTGCCCAAAACGACGTCGTTTTGGGCAGTTTATTTTATTTTATTTTATTTTTTTTCTGAAACAGAGAGAGAGAGGGGGAGAAACAGAGGAGAGGAGAGAGGGAGAAAGAGAGATGATGAGAGGAGAGAAGGGAAACAGAGAGAGAGAGACGGCGGGTGCGACGGTGGGTGTGGCGATGGCGGTGCGAGCGACGGTAGATGTCGATCGCAGATCGCAGGTCGTCACTCGTGGTAGGTCGTCGCTCGTGGCAGCTCGTCGACCGATCGCAGCTCGTCGGTCGATCGTCTCCGCCCCGCCTCCGCCTCTGCCTCTGCCTCTGCCTCCGCTCGATTGATATTGCCTCCTCCAGTCCTTCTTCTTCTTCTTCCTTCTCTTCTCTCTTCTTCTTCTTCTCTTGATTTTTGGTTGATTCGGGGGCTCCAAATTCGAGCTCCCTAGCACGGCTCTTTTTTTATTCACATTTGTTTTTATATACTTTAATTTTTCTGTATTCATGGCTTTTATTACTTTATTTTTTTGGGATGTTAGTTAAAGTGAAGTGGGGTGGGGTATAGAGGTTCATAAGCAACAGATATATTTTTTTTATGATGTTAACTTTGAATTTTTTTTATGATGTTGACTTTTTATTCATATATTCGGTTCATATATTCTGTTTATAGTTGTATTAATATATTTCATTCATATATTCTGTTTGTGTTTAGAGATTTTCAAATTTTTCATGCATACCATGCTTGTATTGGTGTAATTTTTTTGAATTTTTGTGAAGGTGGGGTATATTTTGTTGTGGAACCAAGGGGATTTGAATTAAATATTGAGGAATTGAATTAATAATTAAATATTAATTAAATAGTGATGATCCTGATCACATTGCTGATGGGAATGATGACAGTGGTTCAGAAGAAGAAGACAATGAAAGTGATGAACCTGACTGGTTGAATGAGGATTTAGAGAGGTCAGATGCTGATGATATTTTCCCATTAAGGGAGACTGTAAAGAAAAGAAAGAGGCAACATTATTCATGCGATCAAGGGGTTGACAAAAGGTAGTATTCTGATATTGAGGATGAAAATTTACACAGTGTACATAACTCATCAGATGACGAATGTGAAGATAAATATCCTGAGTTCATTGAGGAAGTAGATATAAAGAAGCAATAATATCCTGAGTTCAATGAAAGAGTGGAATATCTAACATGGTTATGACATAACGTACATACAGAATGACAATAGAGTTCAATACAGTTCTCCAGAATTTGATAACTCATCATCTCAGATATACTCAAATTTCATTTGCAAGTTCATTTGCTTTTTACATTACTCACAACATTTGATTGTATACTTGTTAAATCATTACAGCCTAGGATTACTAAAGTTGTCCAAAATTCTCCACATTTCCCAACTTGGATGGGGCAACATATCTTCATCTCAAGTAAACTCTATCTCTCTTTTCTATGCAACTTCATTTGCTTTTGTAGTATTGCACAAAATGTAATTGCATACTTGTGTGTGTCGCAACCCACTAGTTATGGCAGAGAAAAGGGTGGGCCAGTTGGAGGTGGCAGGGTTATGTCTAGATCCACATTGAGAGACAGCTTTGTAACAAGAGGTAGAGGAGAAGGTGGGTCAAGCTATAACTCAGAGGCAAACTGACAAAGGCAAAGCTAAAGCATGATGGATTAGGCATTTGTTTTTGTGTTTTGAGTTAGCTTTTGTTGTGTTTTAATCTTGTTAAATCATTAAGTGGGTTGTACCAATTTGTTTTTGAAGTTGCGACTGGCCAGTAAACAATAGTGTCTTAGTTTAGTGTGTTTTGAGAAAGCCCAGTGGGTAGTACACAATTTTTGCTTTATGGCTTGTTGATTTATTATTTGGCATGAAGCACTATGTTTGCTTTATGGTTTGTATTAAAAAATTGTGGTTTGTATTAAACTAGGTCTATGTTGAATAATGGCTTGTATTAAACTAATGTGAGTTGAATTATACAATTGTGAATTGATATTTACACATTGTTTGTGTTGTTTGTCCATAGGTTTACTTGTTCAAATAGTATTGTGTACCTTTATTAATCTACAGGTTTACTTGCTGAAATTGTTTTACATGAAGCAAACGAAGTATGTTTCAAATAAGGGAACAATGAGAACTAACATGTTTCTATTCTTTAATGTTCTTGGAATATGTAATCAAGAATTTTATTGCATTTTTTTTAGTTCATCAGATACTTACATTTCATGACGCAAACATTATTTCATTACAATTGCTTCACAGGCCATTGTACACCTTCCTTGGTCAATACAGCAGCAAGGAACACTTTATTCATTCTTCATTTTCTACCTTCACTATATTTTTCATCTCTCAAACTCTATGGCCCAATAACAATTCATTTTTCTTCCTTGCAGTTAGCTTCACCCAGAACATTGTTATAATGAAAAAAAAAAAACCGATGTCCCAAACAAAGCTTCGCGAAACATTTTTTTCCTTCTACGACTTGTTGCTAGTTCTTTCTCCAATTAGTTCATCTTTACAACCATCTTTGGCAACACTTCCCTCCTACGCTGGCACATAGGTGGATTAACCCATTCAAAGTAGCCACAAGTTGCATCAACCTACAACAAAAAAAATATGAATCCACAAATTCCTTTTCAAACAAAATTCAATCTTTTTTTCCAAAAAAAAAAAAATTAAGTTTAGCTTACCCCATATCTTGCACAACCATAAAACCTTCTGCCCAGATGTCATTGAAGTCTTCATAGGGGATCTCTTTCCACAATAATATAGTCTTGGAGCATTTGTCTTTAAGTGTCCACTTTCAGAAGACAATGAAGAAGCTATCTAACAAAAATCTTCAAAATCTTCAACTTTGGAAAAATTTGGGCAATTTGGGCAGTTTTTGGAAAATCTGGGCAAATTTCAATTTAGGGTTCTATGTTGTTTGGGTCTTGATCTATGTATGTATATCGTAACAAGGGTGTTTTAGTCATTTATCATATGTTTTTTTTTGGGGGGGGGAAACTACTCCATTTACCATTCATAGTCGTGTAACACACGCTCTATTTATACGAACAGTTCTGTCGAAAATTGTACTCTGGTATAAAGTATAAGAGGTTTAAGTGTTATAAATGAAATTATTGGGGGCTCTATGTTTTTTAGAAAAATCACAGGAAGTTAAATTATAATTTACCCAAGAACCAATTATAGTAACTAATTTCAAAACAATTGTTAGCTTTTAATTAATTTTTTTTTTCAATTTATTTAAATTATTTCTAAGTTATAAACTAAAGTTACATTAAATAATTTCTTAAATTAAAATAAATGTAAACTCTAATCACCTCTAACAAACACTCCCTTGCTTGTAGGCTGAAATAGGAGGGTAGTTTGGTCAATAAGCATGGTTTGTTGTGACATTGCATCATTTTCATGCATTTCCTCCAAATTAATGCTTGTCTTTGTCATTAACAAAATAATTTTTGATAAATATATGTTGAATTATTAAAACAGCTGCTGCACATGTCAAATTTGTGCAAATGATTTTGTTAACAAGTGTACCTGATAAGAATGTATTAATTGAGAATAATTAATCACACTAATATAAAAAAGTAACAAAGACAATAAATATGTCATGATAAAGAGATTTTTATTTTGATGATACTAAACTATCCTCTATCTTTCCTTTTTTTTTAAAAAAAAAAAAAATTTCTTCCATTTTACTTAGTTACTTTTCCCATACTCCCACACTTTTTGTTTAATTTTTTTTCCCCCTTAGTTAAGAGACATATATATATATATATATATATATATAATTTGATGATAATATTATGAGTAGTGTTTTTTAAGCCTAAAAATTAGAGTCATTTTTTAAATTAATAATGTGGCAATATATTAGAATATCTAAAGGAATTCTCTTTTATATGTTCTCTAATCATATTTTTTACAAAATGATCTAGAAAATGGATTTGTATATCATTTTCTTAATTTTATAAGATATACAATTAATTTTTGTAACAAATATCACTATTTCAAACATTGGACTTTTAGTCCTTTTAAGGGGTTGAAAAAAAGTTTAATTAATCTAATTTTTGAAAGTCATATATATATTGGTGAAATAAATAAATAAAAAAGGTGGGAGGAGTATAGGAAAGGTCCCTAAAAAAAAGTAAAATGGAGGGAAATTCAACAAAAGGTAGAGGTGGCAGCCGATGGTCGACAGTGGAAATGGTTAGGGTTAGGGGTTTGTTAGAAAATAGGATAATTTGGTATTATCTAAAAAATAATTGTATGTATTGAGACAAAATCAGAACTTTCAATTTGGGTGTGGTGTGAATTGACCAAAAAGTGAAGAGATGGTGTGTACTGAGATAACAAGTGACGTGCAAATAGAATTACCCTATATATTATTGCCTTTGTTGCTTTCTATATTACTGGTGTTAGCTACTCTCATTTAATGCATTCTTATCAAATGCCCTTAGGGCACTTGTTAATAAAACCCTTGTGCAAAACAGAACTTTTTTTTTTTTTCTTTGAAGTTTGTGGTTAATTAGTTCTTGGAAATTGTTAGTTTTTTGTAGGTAAAATTATAAGTTGTGTCTGACATGTGTAATTGGAAATTCACTTAGCTAGCAAGTTACTATAAAACTATGTATAAAACTCTATTTTATTCATGAAATGCTTTATAGTAAGTCGTTGAATACTATTTTACCTTAGAACTTATAGCATATTAAATATAGATCCATGTCTTTCTTGCTCCACTAAGTAGGATTAATTTCTCACTCGTCCGTTTTATAACTACAATCTTATTTTTTGGATTTCTCACTCGTCCATGTTGTAACTACAATCTTATTTTTTGGATGTCAAAAACCAGAAGCTATCAAAAAATATGAATATTTTGATGTGTCCTAGGATATTGTATTTAGATGAATTGGATATTTGGACATGATATGAATTGACCTTTCCTAACCAAGATCGGTGAGACACGAAATAATAAACAAGGAAGAAAAAACGAATCAAACAAATCACATACACACGAACACAAGGATTCACGTGGTTCACCCTAGAATAGGGCTACGTCCATGATTGTTGCGGTTTTCATTGTGATAAAAAAAATACAACTCTCTTAACCTAAAAGAGACGCCCCCTCATCTATTTATAAGTATAGAATTATGGTTACATGGAAACAACATGGAAATTACGAAAGTACCCAAACAATCTCCCACTTGGAACCTGATAACACAAGCTCTGTATCTTCATCACATAGAGGAATGCCGCGATAGACTCGATCTCCTGTTCATCCATCTTGAAGGCCAACTAAAGTTGCACACAACTTCAGTTTGTCAATGGTGACTATATTGGTCAACATATCTTTTGGATTCTTACTGCCTTGGATCGTCTTAAGAGACAAGACTCTGTCATTTATACGTAAACGAATGAAATGACATCGCAACTGAATGTGTTTCGTTCTAGAATGAAAACCCGAATTCTTTGCAAGATGAATAACACTCTGACCGTCACTGTGCAAAATACTCATCTTTTGCATCTTACCCAACTCTGCTAGGGAATTCTACAACCAAGTCATCTCCTTCCTAGCTTCAGTAATAGCAACATACTTGACCTCTATTGTAGAAAAGGCCACAATCTTCTGTAATGTGAAATCCAACTCACTACTGTACCACCTAATGTGTAAACATAATCAGTAGTGCTTTTTTTGTTATCCATATCACCAGCCAAGTCAGCATCAACATAACCATGTAACTCGATGCCGGTTCATCTGAAACAAAATGTCATGTCTATAGTACCACTCAAGTATCTAAGGATCCACTTCACTACTTCCCAATGCTATATGCTTGGATTACTCATGTACTTACTAACCACTCCCATTGCATGTGCAATGTATGGTCTAGTACAAACCATAGCATACATTATGCTACTGATAGTTGAAGTATATGGAACACATTCCATGTAAGCTTGCTCTTCTTTGATCTTTGGAGACTGCTCTTTGGTAAGCCTGAAGTGGCTGGCCAATAGAGTGCTCACTGGTTTTGCACCATCCATGCTAAACCTCTTGAGAACTTTCTTGACATACTCAGCTTGTGACAACTTCAAAGTACCATTTGCCTTATCTCTGTGAATCGTCATACTAAGGATTTTTTGTTTGCAACTCCAAGATCCTTCATCTCAAATGAGGTGGACAAAAGTTTTTTCAATTTTTTTGTTTTTTATCTCTTCAATACTAGATCCTGCGATAAGCATATCATCAATATATAAGATCAAAATAATATAACTGTTGTCAAACCTCTTGAAATAACAGCAATGATCTGCTTGATATCTTATAAAACCACTGCTACACATAAACCTGTCAAACTTCTTGTATTATTGCCTTGGGGCCTGTTTCAAACCATACAAGCTTTTTTGAAGTTTGCATGCAAACTCCTCTTTGCCACGTGCCAAGAAACCTTGTGGTTGCTTCATATAAATTTCCTTCTCCAAATCACCATGGAGAAAAGTCGTCTTCGCATCCATCTGCTCAATATGCAAATCTTCAGCTGCCACAATTCCTAGCACTAATCTAATAGTGGTCAACTTCACAATTGGAGAGAAAATTTCAGTGTAGTCAACCCCTTTCTTTTTGCTAAAATCCTTTTGCAACCAATCTAGCCTTGTAGCATTTACTCACATCATGTTCTTGTTTAACCCTGTAAACCCATCTTTTGTGCAAAGCTTTCTTACCACTGATAATTCAGTCAACTCCCATGTTTGGTTTGCCATGAGTGAATCCATTTCATCCTGCATAGCTGACTCTTACTTAATTGAATCATCAACCTGTAAAGTCTCATCATAACTTTCGGGTTCACCTCCATCAGACAACAACAAATAATGTATAGATGGAGACCAACATTGTGTAGGTTTAGACTCTCTTTCTGACCGTCTCAACTTAGAAGTAGGAGTATATGGCTTAGTTTGTGGAATAAGATTTTCAGGATTATTCTGAATCTTACTATTCAAATCACTCTCACATGCTCATGATAAGTAACAGATTCAGATTTAGATACAGATTGATCCCTATCTTTATACATTACTTTCTCATTAAATATGACATCTCTACTTTTGATTATTTTCTGATTTTTATCATCCCAAAACCGATAACCAAATTGATCAATGCCGTACCCAATAAAAGTACATTTAACAGATTTCGGATCAAGTTTACTTTTTTAGTAGAATCTATATGCATATATATGAAACACAACCAAATACCTTCAAAAAAGTAAGATTTACCTCTTTACCGCTCTAAGTTTCTTCTAGTAACCACCACAACAAAACTGGGTTTTTACGGCTTCACTTCAACAACATACAGTAAATGCAAGCCGTGGTTTCTCACTTTTATGGTTTTCATTTTTTGCATGTCGTAAATAATTTCTCAACCACGGCATGTCTATTGTGTAGGCCGTGAATGCTAATAATGATAATTTTTTTACTACTTGCAATATTAGCTGTAAATAATAAAATTTTCTATGATGTGTATATGTATGCCGTTAATACATCAACTATATACAACACACATACGTCAACCATTAAAAATATTACACTTTTAACATAACACAAAAAATCAACCGTTAAAAGTATTGCACTTCACACGATATACAAGGACAATCATAAATGTTATGACCGAACAAAATAGACGTGAAAATAAAAATCTCTAGCGCCAAATACCAAAAAAATATATATATATATATATATATATTTCAAAAAAAAAAAAATATCAAAGTACACCATTCCAACCCTTTGATTTCTAATCAAAAGGAACATAGAATGTGTCAGGTACGGAGAAGAGAAAGGTTTGAAGGGTAGGGGTGTCCGCGGTTCGGTTTGGGACGGTTTGCGGTTCGATTTGGACCCGCCCGCATCTATGCGGTTTGGGAAAAAGTCAACCAGCAACCACCCGCATCTATGCGATTTGCAGATGTGCGGGCAGTTGCGGGCAGTTTGCGGTTTGGATTTTTTTCTTTAAAAATTAATTTTTGAAATTTTTTTTCCCCATTTTGTAAATATTTATTTTTGGTCAATAATCAAACATGACAGATTACGTATCCTTATATAAACTCATGAATCTCCTTATGTAATGAAATTCAAACATGAATCCCTGTATACTGAATTTCAAACATGTCCTTATATAATCAAATTCAAACATGACAGATTACATATCCTCAATCTAATCAAATTACAAACTCATGAATCATGTACTGGTTCTGGTTTCATGCAATAATCAAATTCAAACAAAGAAAAATTCTTATATAAACTCAAGAAATCACTGTGCATTGTTCTATGCAATAATCAAATTCAAAGTTAAAGATTATAGATCCTTAGATGCTTAATCACAATATCTAAACTCATGAATCATGTACTGGTTCTGGTTTCATGAGTCTCATTGAATTTAATTTTCTTATATAAACTTTGTAGTGGTTCTGGTTTCATGATCTATATACAATTAGTATTAACAAAATTAGTATTATCATATTTTCTTATATCAACACAGCTCTAACTTCTCAGCATCCGAACAACAAACAACATTGATTCATACATAAAAAGAGACAGAAATAGAGATAGAGACTGAGAGAGGCTTACCTTAGAGTTGCCGGAGAGACAGAGACAGATCGGTACTGGTTATGGTCAATCGACGCTAGTTCTGGTCGATCGGGGAGAGAGAAAGAGATGGAAGAATAAGAGAGATGGAAGATCAAGAACGAGAAAGAAGATGAGATGAGAGCTGCGCACAAAACAGATTAGGATTAGGGTTTGGTTTGTTTGGGAAAAATAAAAATAACTAAGATAGAGAGAGATGGAGACAGAGAAAGGCTTACCTAAGAGTTGTCGGTGACAGGGACAGAGACAAATCGGCATTGGTTCTGGTCGATCGGCGCTGGTTCTGGTCGATCGGGGAGAGAGAGAGAGAGAGAGAGAGATGAAAGAATGAGAGAGATGGAATAAATGGACCGAGAGAGAAGATGAAATAGAGAGAGGCTTACCTGAGAGTTGCCGGGGCCAGAGACTGAGACAGATCGGTGCTGGTTGTGGTCAATCGGTACTGGTTTTGGTCGATCAAGAAGAGAGAGAGAAATGAAAGAAGAATGAGTGAGAGCTGAGCTGAGCAGCTTGCGGGATTAGGGCAAAACAAAAAATAGATAGATAGGATAGATAAATAGATCGATCTGGATGATGATGAGATGAACTGTCCATGTTATTTCTTAAAAAAAAAAAAAAAAATTATATTTGGCTAAGTGCGGGCGGGTTGTGGCGGGTGCGGTCCAAACCCGCAACCTGCCCGCAACCCGCAAATCTTATATATTCCAAACCGCACCTTACCCTATTCACTTTGCGAAACCGCTCATACATGTGCGGTTCGGGTCAGGTAGGGTGGTTTGTGCGGGTCGGATAACCCAAGCCCAGCCCTATTGAAGGGGCAAAATCGCAGTAAAAGAGAAGGGTTCGAATCGTCTCATCGCAGAGAGATGAAGAGTTGAGGGAAGGAGCAAAGCGAAGAAGGTACTAAGTTCTCTCTCTATCTCAACCCTCTCTCTCTCTCTCTCTCTCTCTCTCTGTCTCCTCTTCCTGTCTCTCTCTATGAATGGAAATCGACAGTGTTGTGTATATAATATATATGTATATATATGTCTCAGTGTGTTTGAAATATTTCTGCTTTGTTTCAAATTAGAACTCAGATAGGGAAAAAACTTTTGGGAAATGTACCAATTGTAAACTAATTGCATCCAAAAATCTATACCAGTAAGCAAGCTCAAATGGCGGATTGAGGTGCCTCTTTTACCATCACTGACGGACAACCCGTTTCATTGATTTTCAGCTCTCCCAGGTTGTTCATTGATTTTTCTTCAATCGGCTTCATTGACATTGAATTTGTACAAGACTAATATAGAAGATCCACACCAATGGTTTTGTTTAGATAACAATTAAAAATTCAAATCCATCCCCTACCTCCTATGTTCTGCTTTACCCGACTAAATTTCTGAGTCACTGACTGATTTCAGTATCAAGATGAGGAATTCTCAATTTGGTTCATTCTCCTTTGGGTTATTGCCATTTTTGAGGAAGAATTCTCCGTTTGGGTATGCAAATTTCTGCGTAGAAAACATAAATTTTTTTACGAGTTTTCACTAGGTGCCTTTATGCTAGTGAAATGGAACTTCAGTAGCATTGTTGAGGTAACTTTTTCTGTGGCTTAGTTGTTAGACATCCAAACACTTCCTGCCATGTTCTTTGGCTTATTTAGCATTTAATTTGGAAGATGAGCGGGATTTCTAAAATTTGACATTGAAACTCAGCTGAATAGGTCATTCCTTGATATGTATTATGTCGTATTGTTTTACTTATTTTGTCACTCAACCTGCGAATTCAAATAATTTCGCCTTCCTTTTATATCGATGATGTTACTGTTATTATATTATATATATATTGGATCCTTTTAGCATTTTGCTGCATGTTAATGTTTCATGCCATATGTTGTTTGTAGGACTAGGTTTAGTCTTTGTGATCTTTCTTTGTCTTTATTGGTTTTATCATGGTATTTGGGTGGTGCTCCTTTGGCACCTGTTTTAATGCAATTTTCTTATTTACTTGCCAAAAAAAGTTGTGGTTCCCACCATTGTTTGTGTTTCGCACACCTTGTTATCTTCAAATTGATCTCCACAGTGGAATGTGCTCTGATCTCTTTTCAATGATGAATCAACTAATTTTTATGTCTGATTTTGATGTGTGGATACACACCATACTTATCTTCTAGGAATGTTTGCTAATCAAGAGTTTTGGTTTTGTCCTTTCAAGTATTTCATATCTTTGATAAGCAAAGAAACAACAATTACTATTAGTTGATACTCGTATGAGGTAATAGTTTGGACCACAGTTGAGCACATTGTCTAGCTAAATAGGTATTTAATTTTAGAACCACTTTAATATGTTGTGTTTGTCATATTTGAAATCTATGTGAACTATTTAGATAAAATGGTTGCATTTTAAGGCCTTTTCTTGGTTGCAAGAGAATTTTCATTTTGGTTTTATTTAATATTTTTAGCATCACATTTTTAGATAATATATTTTGTTAGCCAGTTTGAATAAGTTTGCTTTATAAATGTTCGCTCAGAACATGTATCAGTAATTAGCATTTTCACAGTAAACTAGTAAAGGTAGAAACTTACAACCATTTTCACATGGATTGGAAGCATATTACACTTTTGTTTCATACAAGTACAGAATCGACGTTAAATATCAAGTTTACCATTCTTGTTCAATTGGTAAAGAAGAATACCAATCTTGGCAAAGCTAGCTTACTATGCTACTTTGTTGAATAATGACTGGTGTTCGTAGTGAAATTGAGATGTACCCTTACTGTTAATATGCTGCATATATATTGCTGTATTACATGATTAGTGTATATACTTTTTGCTATCGTTTAATTTTTAATTTTTTGTCCTTAGTTATTGATGTAGTTGTTTTTATCATTTCTTCAAATTTTAGTCCTTGGGATGAAGCTCCATATAAGGATGCTGCAGAGAAAACTGCTTTGGGAGGGATATCACTTGATGGGTTTTTGTCGGAGACAAGTGTTTCCTATTTCTTTTCATTTCTTAGTCATTCATTTCTGCAATTAGCAATACCATGAGTTTTACTTGCATTGTATAACTATTGTGATTATATCGATTAGTTCACACATGAAGTTCTACTGTTAAAAATCCAATATGTAGAAAAATTTACAATTGTAATGTTATTTGTTGATATGGAGTTATCTTTCTTTTTCTTCTTGGTTGAATTTTGATAGGCTACGCACAATGGGGATTTCCCTCTCCTTGATCATGACCCTCCCCACCCTAACTTTCATGTTTAAAACAAATTAATTTTTTGTCCCTTTATCACAGGCTTATTAATGATGTGACTATGTTGTTATTAAGGCTGTGGAATGTGCTAAACTACTGGAGCTTGGTTCAAGAATGACTAGATTTTCGTGATTAATATAATGACCTTCTTTCAGATTCTATGGCTTACTAACCTTTTCAACCCAAGCCCTGAGTATTGCTTTACTCAATGATCTGTGCTTTTTAGGGAGGGAAAATTTAGCATTTATAGTTAGGGCTGTATATTGGTTGCATATTAGGCATTATATTTTTGCAACATAGCAAAGCCCAAGTATTGCATACTCGATTGTTGGTTTGTGAGAAGTGGGACCATACCTTTAGCATTGACAAAGTGTGATATAAATATTCAGGTTTACATCTTTTCCGAAGTACCTAAAAAAAAAAATAATATTCAGGTTTACATCACTGTGCTGTTGTAATTGCAATATAGATTAACTAAGGGCTACAGCTGATGTAGCAAAATTGACTAGTCCCAAAAGTCTGGGCTAGTGATAATGTGAAATGAACCTATCTATTGTTTAACAATTTAGATAATCATCTTATTTAGGAAGGATTTAAATTCCAATGGCCCCAAATGTCTTTACTTTTTGACCAATCATAACATCACGTACTTTCTAAAATTGGACTCACCTTTTTCTTCTTAGATCTGTTTCAATTTTTGCACTTTTTCCAAGCCAAGCTGCTTGCATTTATCTTGAGCCTTTGCCAATATAAGTTCAAATGTCGTTGACCGAAATTTTTACAAACGTTACATGAGCCCAAGTCTGACCAAAGTACCAAGATGAGTCTAATCAATTTGATACTCAGCTCCAATAGGATTGGTTACACCAGTAGACTAGCTATGGTGCTAGATGTACCAACTTGATGTATTATCTTTACGGAATTTGAGAACTCATACTGGTATCAGAACAAAGCATATATCTGAATTGTTGCTGTTGTTGTTGCTATGTAACTAGTATTTTTTTCAGGCAACAGAGTCATAATTTTTTTAGGTCTTGTTAACATCAAAATTCAACATAATCTCATTGTTGTACCATAATACAAATGCCCAAACACATTTTTTTTTCCATGCAACACGTATTCTGAATTTGTGTGACAAGTTTGCGGTGTGCAGTGGCCCCTTATGACACTTGCAGGATGGGTTTAAATTTTTAGCAAAAGTTTTCATTGTTTGAAAATTAGCCTTGGTTGCTTCTTTGTAATTTGTAGTTTTTAGAAATAATGAAGGAGAAAGTAGCTTGCTTGGCTTAATGTGTTCACTATGCAAGTGTTGGGTTCCAGTATATGGAGTTGTACTTGTCCTGGCTTTTATGGATCTTGTGCTTTCTTCTCTTCATTTTATTTGGAGAATTCTTAGGTGGCAAATGCGAGGTTTCAGGCTGCAGCAGCAATTCTTAGATGTTCTAGTTGATTTCCCTGTGTGATTGTTACTTGTTATTAATGGTTAAATATTATCAGCAAATGCAGATTAGAACAGAAAGATATCACTAATTACTGATCAACGATTAATCGATGTACTCTTGTTTTGGTTGATTGAAGATAGGTAAGATATTTTAAGGGTTAATTTTTGAATATGTTATGCTTCCTTGGTAATAGCTAAGTTCTATGGAATGAAGGTGAGGCTTCTTTGAGTTGTACAGAGTTCTTTTTTTTTTTTCAGTTAACCCATATAAAATTTGTTTTCTAGTGTTCCTTACCACATTTGCTTCCATGATAAATATGTTCTCTGCTATATATATATACTAGGGATGACCCGTGCCTGAAGGCACTACCAACAATTTTTTTGGTGTCACGTGCTACGAAACTCAATGATAATAAATCAATTCAAAATGGTAAATGTCACTCCGACTTAAAACTTTGCATATAAGAAATTAAAATTGTTTCTACATATTGAATTAGCGAAAGCATTTATAAATTTCAAATAGTAAATTTCAAAATTAAAGTCCAAAAAATGAATTATGTATTTGAATGTAGCATATGCAAAGAATCTAAAAATATTTGCTAAACTTAAAAGTCCAAATAGCAAATTTTAGATTTTTATCCACGTCAAAATGACACACCTATACACTATAGCAAGTTATAATGTGATAACCTTCAATAAAAGAATGTTATTGAATTAATATTATAATGGTAACCCTATCGCTTTATCAGGTTTAAATTCCTTCAAATAAAGGTCAATGAACATTATGATACAAAAGAATAATCCTAGCTAACCCAAAAATAAATAAGTAAATAATTTAACATGAGAGAGCCAACCAACGACACACTGGTAGAAGCAACGTAACCCAATGTTTCTAATATGGATCAATGACTTGCAACAAAATCACTCGCTTAAATTCGCTTCAAAAAACCAATAGCTATGAAAAATCACATCAAAATGCATATGAGAAATCGGAAGAAATTGTAATGAAGAATAATTGCATCAAAAGAAACTGTAACATGAAAAATCGCATCAAAATACATATGAGAAATACGAAAATCAATAGCTATGAATTAAGAAGAATTAAACATAACTATTATGGTCAATTGAATTATGTATGCATTACTAAAGTAAACAAATGAGAATACACAATTGTATGCATTACTAAAGTAAACAAATGAATAGAAAAGCAAATAATAGTATAGAAGGATCAATTGAGAATGCCGATAAATCATACAAACCTCCAAATAGAATTAAACTCGAATTTTGTAAGGGGAGTGAATAATTTTCTTTATTAAGACTAAGAGAGTCTTGTTATAAGGAAGAATAATTTTTGAAGGTTGTAAAACCAAACAAAATTAAAATTTTAAACAATTAAAGCTTACCTTGTGCAAAGTATCCATTTTTGGATGATCATGCTCCTTTGAGTTTCCATCCCTGTGATAATGCATAACCTATTTTCTAGTTGAAGCATTATGTATAACAATTAGTAGGCAATAAAAAAAGAATCAAACTTGAAATTAATGTTAATGGGCAAATCTAACTAAAATTAAACCCAAGGTTCATTAAATAAAATTAACTGTACTATTTTTTTAAACAAAGATTACAACCAAATACTTGTGCTAGTTCATTTATCACTTTAATATTTTTGGAATCAAAACCATTCAGAAACACATTTAAATCTAACCCATTTTTTTTTAAAAAAAAAAATCATTACATGAAGATAGGTTTCTAAAATCTAAACCATTTCAAAAAATTATTACATGAAATTCACAACTTTTCCTCACCTCATACCCAACACTACATTTGCCTCCAACCAATCAACTGACCTGCCTACTTAAAAAAAAAAAAAGGAAAAATAAAAAGGGATTACATACTTTTCACTTTTTAAGTGACTGATAACATGTTGTATACTCCAAATTAATCACCAAGAATTTGCCCACAACATTTAAGAGAGCACTTCACCAACATTAAGGGTTGAAAGTGAAACCACCTTCTTCTTCACTTATGAGGTACCATTATGCATAATCATCCAATTAAAAGTATAAAGTATGTTTAAACCACTTCAAGGATGAAGTAAGTTTATGCCATCACTCATTACTCCAAGATGACTAACTAATAATATAGATGATCTACTAAATTAATTTAGTTCCAAAACCAAATATTTGAAGAAAAAAAGAAACAACCAATTGGCTTAAAACTGGCTTTTATTAATATAAACCTCTTTACTGTTTTTCTTTTACAAATTCTTTATAGACCTCATTGAGCAAATCTCAGCATTGTTTGTAGAGTCTTACAAAATAACTGGCAAAGTTGAAAGTATAATTTTTTTGGGTAAATTATAAATACACTCCTGAGGTTTGCTTAAAATATGAATTGTCCCTTGTGGTTTGGAAAATTAAGAATACCTCTGTCAGAATTTTTTATTTAACAAAAATAATTGAAAAAGTGAAATTTCTAATTGTTCACCTATACAATAATCAAATTTATCTGAATTATTAATTGAAATAAAATTTTAACATTATTAAAAATTGTTAATTAACTTGATGATTTATTAATAAAAGGACATATTTATTATGAAATTAGAAACCTTAGAGGACATAATGTAATTTCTAGAACCACAGGGGGTAATTTATAATTTAAGTAAATCTCAAGGGGTGTGTTTGTAATTTACCCTTTTTTTATATTTATTTATCACAACTTACAATCCTCACTCTAAAAATAAAATAAAAAATGAGAGGAGAAGAAGAAGAAAGAAAAAAAGAAAGAAAGAAAGGAAAGAACAGGCGCAACTCTTGTACAAAATAACAGATGATTTTCACCCAATAAAACTAAAAGGGAAGAAGAAGAAAAAATTGACTCTAACCCATTAAATCAAAATTTTAATTTATTATAATCATATTTGTTTATCACATCTATTTTAAAATGAATATACAATTGTGCCTACAGTGTTTAAATTTTAAAATGAAAAATTTAATTGATTATAAGCACTGGTAAAGTTATATGGTGTGGAAAAAGTAGTAGGCAAAGTTATTCTATTGAATCAACCTGATCTAAATTTCTCTTCCAACCCAAAAATCACCTATATCAAGAATAAAAATGACAATAAAAAGAAACTCCATAAATACACTTCTAGTTCCTCAAACAAAGATATAAAATTGTGAAGAAAAAAAAAGGCTCACTTGAAAAATTCACTAATAGACCCACACAACACTTCCATTCATTGTATAACCTAAATTTTTCAAGTCTAATCAAAACAATGCAAAATCAAACATAAAGGCATTCTAAACCATGCTAATTTTCAAAATTATAGTAAAAATTATCACAATGATTATCATCAAAATTGTATAAAATTCAAAAATTCAAATAGAAGGCCCAAGTTATCACCATAAAAAAATCAAGTACTCGCTCTTCTTAGTTCTGAACCTAGCTAATAATCCAGAAGATAGCAACATGTAAATGAAGCCTATCTAATAAAAATTTAAGATTCTTAATTTGAACAATAGATAAGCAACAAATTATTGACAAATCCATCAATGGAAGGCAGACCAATTACCTAATCAACCATTGCGGCAAACAAAGTCACAACAACTTTTTATGAGCTAATCAAACACTCCTTCAAGCCAAGGCATATGTACCTGAAACAAAAGGAAGAATAGAAAATATAAGCAAGCAAGCTCCATTATCCAAAATCAACCCCTTAAAAATTGCCCATTGTTTGTTATGACACCAGATACGTAGGAATTAAGAATAACCTCTCAAGAGAATTCGTAATCTCATAATAGAAGACAGAGAAGTTGAGAGCAAGGCCAAGATGAATTGGGTGTGTTGAAGGGAGATCTGTATTTGCAGTGGTAAAAGCAACCTAAAAAAAGAAAAAGAAGAAAGAACAGCACCAAGAAGACACATCAAGTGAAGGTTAAAAACAAAACTATGTCAATATGCAGCAATTCACTATGCATATCTCTAGTATAGGATGTCAAGACAATTGATCAACATGCCTCATAACCCTTCAGTGATTGTTCAGCAACCTCTTTTCTTTCCTGGTCAGTCTTAAACTCAGCAAGATACCGGTAGTAGTCACCTTTCCTGAATTAATCAGAACACAGAGAAGATAAACTTACTTCCAATTTGGAAAGGAAAGAAAAATATGAGAAAAATAAAAAGTCACATTCAAGGTAGGCCTCAAACCAAATTGTATTAGTATTAGAAGTATCAACTGATAAAATCAAACGACACTAACTAATGTACTTCAAAAAAATAAAAATAAAAGAAGCACACCAACTAATAGGAAAAAAAAAAATTCTAAATCAACAACCAACATAAACAATTATTGCAAAACCAACTCACCATTGACAACAAATTGAATTCATCTTGGTAATGAAAAAAAGAAAAGAAGCAGAGAATAACATTCTAAGCTAGTTTCCATATTAAAAAGTAACAAAGACTAACAATTAATGGTGTTCTACACAAAATTGGAAACCAATATGGTTAGTGGTGTTCATACACTATCACCACAACCATATATGTATTAAGCATACTACACTGCAAGTAGACAAACCAGTTTTCTAATCTTTAAACCCATACCTACTATTTTCAATGTGTTTGATGGAGGTTAGTTTAGTATAGGATGTCAAGACAATATATATCAACAACCAATGTAAACAATTATTACAAAACCAACTTTATATGCAATAGTAGCTTTCCCTGAACTATCTGTTTCAATTTTTGATATATATCATTAGTTTTTCAACTTAATTGGTCTCTAAGTGAGTTACTCGAAGCTTAAAGTTAAGTGAAAAAGATGCAGTTATGATGGCATGACTTTAAGAACATGTGAACATTGGATTTGCCTATGCAAGCCAAATAATGTTTTATGTAATAATTGCAGGCTCTAATAATTAGTAAATGTTTTCATAGTAGCTGAAGCAAAACCAAGGAAGATCTACAGAGTTAATTTTCATCGTTTGATGCTCAATACGGATCAAAAATCATAGATGGGATAATGAAAGTACCCTCACAAAAATCAGACACCTAAACTACAAAACCAAAAATTATTATCAAACAACAAAACAACAAATCCAAACAACTCCTTCAGGATTCAGAATTTAAACAACAAATCAAAATTATAGGCAAGAGCAGAGAAAGTGAAAAGGCAAACAACGAAGAGTGAATAAATCTTACCAGCAAGAGCAGAGAAAGGGAAAAACACAACATAATCAACAACGATCGGGAAAAAATACTGTACAGCGAGTTCGAAGTCTTACCTAAATGAGAAACAAATCACATAATATAAATGAGAAAAAAATCACATAATATAAATGAGAAACACAATCAAACCCAAATGAGAAACAAATCACATAAGAATTTAGACACCCAACGAAAACCCAAATAAAAATTTTGAGGCATTTTGGAGACCCATTTTACAAATCACATACTGAATGCATACAAAGAGACACATAAAACAAAAACAAAAAAAAGCCGAAAAAGAAAAAGAAAAAAAAAATTGAAACATTCACTAATAGACCCATTCAATAAAAAATAAGAAGAAAAAAAAAAGGCTCACTTGTTAAATGGGCCGTTGTGCCATTGCTCTCCATTTCTTGAAACATTCACTAATAGACCCACACAACACTTCCATTCATTGTCTAACTTGAATTTTTCAAGTCTAATCAAAACAAACTAAAACATCTTGTTTTTGAAAAACAATAAAATCAAACATAAAGGCATTCTAAACAATGCTAATTTTTAAAATTACAGTAAAAATTATCACAATGATTATTATCAAAATAGTATGAAATTCAAAAATTAAAATAGAAGACCCAAAAATTAAAATTGTGATTATTATCACAATGATGATTATTAGCATAAAAAAATCAAGTACTCGCTCTTCTTGGTTCTTGCTTCTCTACTGTCTCTGAACAAAAAACATAAACTGCATGTAGCTAATAATCCAGAAGATAGCCAACATATAAAATGAAGCCTAGCTAGTAAAAATGAAGCCAAGTTAAACAATAGATAAACAACAAATTATTGACAAATTCATCAATGGAAGGCAGACCAATTACCTAATCAACCATTGTAGCAAACAAAGCCATAACAACTTTTTATGAGCTAATCAAACACACCTTCAAGCCAAAGCATATGTACCTGAAGCAAAAGGAAGAATAAAAAATATAAGCAAGCAAGCTCCATTATCCACTATCCATTATCTAAAATCAACTCCCTAAAAATTGCCCACTATTTATTATTAAAAATAAGATTCAACTCCCATTGATTGATTCACCAATTTGAATATACCTATATTTTTGTTAACCTTACCAAATATCCAAGGCATGTATCATTCACTATTTGGGGGGAATGTAGAATAAACTATAATGGATTCACTCACTAATTTTTTTTTTTTAGTGTGTGTGTGGGGGAGGGGGGAATATAGAATAAACTATAAGATAACTTTGATCAACTAGGATATTCACATTACCAGCACTAAGTGCATTCAAACATGGTTAATCAAACTCTCTGTAAGAAAGGTTGTTTAGTCATTTACTTGGCTTGATAGATTCACTCACTATTTGAACAAAAAAAAAGTATATAATTATGTAAGAAAATAAACTATTTTAATTGAGGCATTTTATAGAACATCCAAAATTTGACCATCAAAAACAACCGCCACAACTTTCTAGCAAAAATTGTAATTAGTTACCTGACCAAAGGTAATGTTGAAGAAGATAACCGACAATTCTATAGCAAAACTGAATGCTTATGTGTCATGAAAAGTGAATCTGAAAGGTTCAACTAAATGCAAGTAAAGAAATGATGTCTATTCCTAACAAAGAAAAAATATACACAGCATCATTGCAACTTAAGCCTAAACTCAGAAAACCCACATAGAAAAATCGCAAAAAAATAACAGAACACAGACCCAGAAGTAGAAATCAAGAGAAGAATAATATTGGTAATTGGATGATTCCCATTATCCAAAAGCAAGTTAAAAAATTATTGGGTTGATTCCCATTTCTCCACAAAATCAAACCGAAAAATCTATATATGAGAGAGGATACCATCAACTGGATTTGTTGTGTGTAAATTCCATTGAAACATTTTATCAAACACTTAATAAGCAAGGAATATAGAATGGTTAATGGGTAACTCAATAGAATGGTTAATGGCACAACAACCATTCAATAGAGTAACTCAATACAATAGTTGCACAAATTCCTACTAAAAATCAATCAATACAATATCTGTATAAGAAAAATCAACAAAACAATATTCACAGTTTGATTTTGGGAATCTTTCTTTCTCTACTCCACTAATGTTCAAATTAATGTACACCTATGACCTATGAGTAAGCTAGCCAACTGAATTCAACAATTTCAAAATGTATGTATACATATTTTTCCTCTTGGCTGGCCAGAATCAGCTGGTAATATATTAGATCAATACACAGGAAAATAGAATTTCATAAATATATTATAATTCACAAATTAGTAAGACTAAGAATATTGGCACAGATTGAATTTAATGAATCAAGGATTTGATATAAATTAACATGAAACTGTGAAATGGAGAATTGTAGAGTGATTTAAACTGTAGCATTATTGCCTTAAAATCACAGTTTATTGCCTTAAAACATGTGATTTAAACTGTAGACAATTTTAAACTCACAAAAAATATGTGATTTAAACTGTGAATTGTATATGTGATTTAAACTCACATGGGAAAGCTAACCAACTAAAGGCAGCTAACCAACTAAAATTAATGTACACCTATGAGTAAGCTAACCAACTAAAGACAGCTTCTCCAAAATTTACATATACATTTTTTTTTCCTTGGCTGGGCATATTAGGCCAATATACAGGAAAATAGAATTTTAACTCACAAAATTGTTTTCCCTATAACATGCCAGGTATAAGAAATTAACAAAACTCACCGATTATGAAACGTAATGAAAACAATACTCACAGTTTAATCTCTGTGGCTTCAAAGAAAAAAAACAAAAAAAATCTGGCTGCTAATCACCCATAATGAGAGAGAAAAACTGACTCAAGGTTGGTTTCATTGAAAACAAAGGGCTGGAGAACCTCACCGATTACAGATTCTGGAGAACCTGAAACAAAAGATTTTGAACCTCACCGATTACAGATTCTTGATTATGTTTGTTGCCGCGATGTCGCCGATTTGGACCCCGTGATGTCGCCGATTAGCACCCAACAAACTCTCCAATGCGAAGTCGCCGATTAGCACCCCTGCGAAGTCGCCGATCTACTATGTTTTCGTGGGAGATTGAAGATGAAGAGTGAGCTCTGAGAGTGAGAGATGAGGGAGACAACTCAATTTTAAATTTTGAATGAGAGAGAGAGAGAGAGATGGATGGATGGAAGGGAAGAAGAAACCCAACAAAATGTATTTGCCTCTTTGGACACCGTACGATTGATCACCAATGTAAATCCACCATTGAAAATGTATTTGCCTCTTGGACATTTTTTAGCCATTGGATTGAGTCAATCTAATGGTTCACATTGTGACAAAGGGACAATAGTCACATCAGAATTCAAAAACCACTCTTCCTTAGTATATAGATATATACATATGTTGGCTACATATTTTGTACAAGTCAGTGACAATTCGACGTGTGGCAAAGTAAGGGTAATATGGGGAAACCAGTCAAGTCTCCGATCCTGATCATGCACGTGACAGTTAAAATTGGTTGTTATAAGATCTGAGTAACAGTGGATCAACAAAGAGATGCAAAGTGGCGTGGCTTCAACGGTTACTCACATTTAAATTCAAATATAGGAGGGAAGCCTAACTGCAAGTGAAAGCGTAGTGGAACTATTCATAAGGCAGCATGATCAGCGATTACAGAGGAGCAGTTTGACAGTTTGAAGTGCAGTTCGATGGTTATCTTTGGGGAGTATAAATAGCAGGGAAGACCTCAGGGAAAGGGGGGCTCAGATCTAAAAAACCAGTCTTACTTTACATATTTCATTCCAGTTTTTATATTTCCTGTTCTTTACATTTCTGTACTTTAAATTCCTGCACTACACTTCATTCGTAGGAGTAGTTTTCGAGTATATTGTCGCTGTAAATCTCTACGAGGCTGAGATCATTGTAAGTTTTTCATACTAATGAAATGTTTCAATTTATTTAACTGTTCTTATGCTTAAATTCTCCTAAATCAAGCCACTAGTAAAAGTCCTCTTCATTGAGGCTGAAAGAACTATAACACAATCGTTTAAATAATTAGTTGGCAATTACAATTCTGTAAGGGCTGATTGATCCTTGCTGGCACGCTCATAATTACAAAAATAACCTTCGAAAGTCAAAAAGTCAACATATATTTTTGGCACGCCCAGTTGGACACATTTAAAATGATTAGACGTAGGAGACAGAGAAAATGAACGCTTAGAAGAAGGCGTGGAAGGAGAGGTGGAGATACCTAATCTAGAGGATAATGTGATAACACATCCTATGGAGACTCCTATCTTATCGGAACCTATGGTCGAACATACCAGTACTTCAGAGTAAATACCATTTGTTCGTAATATTGGACGAGACCAAGGAATTGGATCATCTAATGTCTCATCTACTCAGCCAGTAAATCCGTGGGGTGGCCTAGTAGATGCCATGCGACAACAATTAATAAACACAATGAAAAGGTGGGCAACATCCTTTTTGGATCGAATGAATAACCACCAACCAACAAATGTAAGACACATGGAGGAAGTAAATGTCCCTCAGCAAAGATTGGCTAGAGATAAACAGCCTATGTAAGTTAATGGACATTCTAATGGTCAAATTAGTAATCAGAGTCATGAAAGATTACCACCTCAGTCTTGGTACGAACCCATTTCGAGGCCTGTAGCAGGCCAAAATGCCTCAATGTTCACCAGTGAAGCTATACAAATTGGTGGATCTGGCCCAGTACAAGAAAATGGCATAAGAATGGTTCCAAACCCCACATTCGAAGCCATACCTGGCACTAGGGGGTACAATAATCCCTTATTCGAATTTATACACGGGGGATTGGAAGGTTTTTCCACAAATGGAAGGGATACAATACCTGTTCCAGCACCTTTCGTAGGTCCCTTCGTAGGACAGGCTCAAAGAGGTTACCTACACCCCCAACAGCAACTTGTACCACAGGGACAGCCAGTTCCAAATGTACCACCCTATGGACCAAGAGGACCACAAGCACACGTTTGTCCACCAAATCCTGTGTTTATTTCCCCAGTAGTGGTTCAGAATTTGTAGTTTTTAGAAATAATGAAGGAGAAAGTAGCTTGCTTGGCTTAATGTGTTCACTATGCAAGTGTTGGGTTCCAGGATATGGAGTTGTACTTGTCCTGGCTTTTATGGATCTTGTGCTTTCTTCTCTTCATTTTATTTGGAGAATTCTTAGGTCGCAAATGCGAGGTTTCAGGCTGCAGCAGCAATTCTTAGATGTTCTAGTTGATTTCCCTGTGTGATTGTTACTTGTTATTAATGGTTAAATATTATCAGCAAATGCAGATTAGAACAGAAAGATATCACTAATTACTGATCAACGATTAATCGATGTACTCTTGTTTTGGTTGATTGAAGATAGGTAAGATATTTTAAGGGTTAATTTTTGAATATGTTATGCTTCCTTGGTAATAGCTAAGTTCTATGGAATGAAGGTGAGGCTTCTTTGAGTTGTACAGAGTTCTTTTTTTTTTTTAAGTTAACCCATATAAAATTTGTTTTCTAGTGTTCCTTACCACATTTGCTTCCATGATAAATATGTTCTCTGCTATATATATATATATATATACATATGTTGGCTACATATTTTATATGAGTCAGT